CCCACTGCGGACCTGACTGGGGGTCTGGTGGGGACATGGGCCACCCCATCCCACGGCAACATGGGTTGATTTTTGTGCCCAAATGGGAGATTTTGCAAATTCTGAAGAAAGGCTGTAGAGTGGGGACGGTAGCAATGGCAGGGACAGTAGCAATGGCAGTCATGGCAGAGATGGCAGGGAGACTGGGGATGGCAAGGACAGTGGGGACAACAGGGACAGTGGGGATAGCAGGGAGGGAGGGAATGGCAGGGAGGGGGGGGGTGGGTTTTTTTGGGGCCACCAAACACAAGGAGGCTCCCAGGTGTCAAACCCTGATGTGCCTGTTGCTTGCTCCCTGAGATGCTCCAGTGGTCACCAGCCCCACATCTGGTACCCGGAGGGGTGGGTGTCTGGGGAGAGCTGGTCACCTCATGCACCCAGGGACCCCCTTGCTGGAGTTGCTGCAGCTCCAGATGCTCCAACAACAGTAGCTGAGACCTATGGCTGTCGTGACAGCGATGAGCTCCATGGCACAACTCCCACCCAACCTCTGCTGGATTCAGCCGCCCTCCTGGCCCCAGCGCCACAGCCGTGGGCAGCCCAGGGCAGGGCCGTCCCGCTGGCCTTTCTGGAGCAGATGGACGGAGGCAGCTCAGTGCGTCCTTTCTTTCATGCAAACCCAGCGTGACTCCCCAGCAGCTCCCGCTCCGGCTGGGAGGTGCCGTTGGGGCCAGCGCTGGCGGTACGTTTGACAAGGGTTCAGCTAGCTTAGTCCTCAGGGACAGGCGACTCAGGCAGATTAGGCCTCACTAAAATAGGCAGGTATTAGTGATCTCAGCAGCCCCCAGCCTTCCGGCGCGGCAGCGTGTAAGCCAGTGCTGCTGCCGAACGCCCGCGAGAGGGGAGCAAGTCCCCAGAGGGGCAAGAGGCAGCGGCACACCCTGTCCCCAAAGGGATCCCCTCGCTGCCTGCACTGGGAGGGGGATGCTGGACGGGGGGTTCAATACTGCTGCACCTCCTCTTCGGTGCTGCCACCAAGGGATGTCCTGTAGGTCACTGGGCACCGCTGGGGTGGGACTGTGTGTGGGAGCTGCCACAGAATCAGGGGATGGATCTGGTGTCCGAGCATAACGGGCTAGTTGCTGGCTCAGGGGCATGTGGGACAGTCCTGCTGCAGTGGTGTCATCCTGTCCCCCCCCACCTGCCCAGAACAGGGGTCCTGCAGACAAGGGGTACGGCAGGAAAACCAGACTGGTGCTGCAAACGCTGCGTTTATGGAGCCAAACAGCGTGAGGCCCTGGGGCTGGTTCCTGGGGTGACAGAGCATCAGGGATCACTGCCCACCCCGACCAGGGGCTCGGACCATGGGGAGGGGCTTGGCCAGCACAGGTGGAGGGGGCCCAAGCATCCTGCACCCTAGCACCCACCCAGTGCACCCCAAAAAAGCAACAAGGAATGGTTTTGGGGAGGAAAACCCAGCGGATGCCTTGGAACCCCCACTCCCAGGTAATGGCACCTGTAACACCCACATCCCATCTCTCCCAGGGAGCAGGGGCTGAGCCCCAACAATGCTGGTGTCAGCCGCTGACAGGGGGACAGTGATGCTACATCAAGGTGCACTTCTCCTTCACCTCATCCACGGTGCTCAGCATATGGTCCCGCAGCACCAGCAGGTCCACCTCCCACAGCTTCATCAGGAAGGTCAAGGCCCCAGTGTCACCATCCTCCTCCTCACTGTGCACCATGGCGTCACCATCTTCCTCCTCCTCCTCCTCACTGTGCATCATGGTGTCACCATCTTTCTCCTCCCAGCATATGGTCCCGCAGCACCAGCAGGTCCACCTCCCACAGCTTCATCAGGAAGGTCAAGGCCCCAGTGTCACCATCCTCCTCCTCACTGTGCACCATGGCGTCACCATCTTCCTCCTCCTCCTCCTCACTGTGCATCATGGTGTCACCATCTTCCTCCTCCTCCTCCTCACTGTGCACCATGGTGCCCAGCTCCTGCAGCACCACTGGCCATGTGCAGCTGAGCACCGTCCCGCTGGTCCTGCACATGGGTGGGAGGTGGTGTTGGGTTGTGTGGGCAAACCTGGGCACCCACCAGCTATGGGGTGGGGACAGGGGGAGCAGGGCCCTCGGGGCCAGCAGGGCACTACGGGGGTGTTGGGATGCTGGGTGGACACCAGGACTGTCCGGTTCCAGATTCGGACGCTGGACAGACACGTGGACAGGCGGATGGTGCGGATGGAGACAGCAGCCATTTGCTGCCCTCTTCAGGAATCATCTCCCGTCCCGGGGGTCCTGGCAGCTGCCTGGCCTGGGACTGTTCCTGAGAATGGAGGGTCTGGGGGAAGATGCCTGAGGTCCCACCATGGGCAGGCTGGTCCTTCCTTGGGCCAGGGGGTACTTGTCCTGCAGGTGCATCTGCACAATGGCCTGTTTTGCCTTCCTCTGCACAAAGGTTTGTCCTGCTCTATCCCGCAGCAGCAGACGACACCTCACTGCCGCCCCCCCAGCAGAACCACCCCTGTCCCACCATTGCCCTGGAACTCCAGCAGCAGCATGGCTGTGCCAGCCCCAGACTGGCTTGGAGGAGGAGAGGATGCAAAGGTCTGCAAGAGGGTTGTGATGGGGATCTGGGGGCACAGGCCACATCCTGCCCCTCCAGCCCCAGCACCCAGCAGAGATGCTCAGCAAAGGTGCTCGTTGGAGGGACTTTCTCCTCCTGTGGCCTCTCAGCTCTCAGATGCTGGGCCACCCGGTCCCCACAGCACCTGGACCCAGGCAGGTGGGACCTTAATGCAATCCCATGCTGGTACCTGTCGTCCCTCAGCTCCATGGTCACTGGGCTGGCACCAGACACCCATCACTTTGGGGGAATGACACGTGGGGGTGCCCCTTGTCACCTATGGCGCACAGAATCACTGTCCCAGCCCCATGCAAGCTCTCACAGGGGCCTCCCATGCTGTGGGGAGAGGCACCGAAGGGCACCTGCTCTGCCCCTGTCACACCCCAGGGACAGCCCATGGTGAGTAGGATCCCAGTCACCGGGGACCCCAGTGACCCTCCAGCCCTGGCAAAGCCTTACTTCTCCTCCAGCAGCTGCTGCTGGTACAGCTCCTCAAGGGTCATGCTGTGGGGCAGAGTGGCCACCTTGTCACCCTTGGGCGGCTTCTCCTCCTTCCCTGAAAGCTCTTCAGGGTGGCCATGAAGAAGGAGACCATGGTGGGTGGCTGTGGCAGCCCCTGCCCCATGGTGCCTGGCACCACGGGGCCCTTGCCCAGTGCCGGTGCCTGCAAGGTCAGCAGGACTGGCTGCCCCAGGGGCGCTGCGGATCAGGGCCGGATTACGGCATTAGGAGGGGAAGCCACAGCCACTGGGGTGGAAAGACCTTCTTGTGCCACTCGCTGCACCCAGGGGTGCTTGAGCAGGATGGTGGTGCTGGGGGACAGTGAGGTGCTTGCCCCATCGAGATGATGGGAAGGTGGAAGGAGCCACCAAGCCCCAGCACACCCCATATGGGGCTGAAAGACCCCCAATGCATGGGCACCAAGGGAGGGCAGCACCCATAGGGCCGGATCCTGCTGTGAGGAGCCCTGCGCCGTGTGCACCCAGAGCCACCCATGGAGGTGCAAGAAGTCGGTGCAGAGGAGACACAAGAGGATTAGCCGAAAAAACCAATCAAGGGTCAAAGGACTGGAAGGAAGACGAGGCGGCGGGCGGACACACACGCAGAAACACACACGCGTGCGTGCGGCCCCTTGCCCCCATTAATCCCGGCTCCACCGAGATGTTGAGATTGCTTGGGAGCTGGTGCCGGGGGCTTCCCGCTGCCAGAGGACGTGCCTCATTCCCGTAATCTTTGTGCAAGCAATTCCCATAGAGACTCTGATTAAAAGAATAATCCCCAGCTGCCCAGAGCCCGAGGGCAGCGGGGCTGGGCTGCGCGGGGGCTCCAAGGGCCGGAGATCCCGAGCCCCCCCTGTGCTTTGCCAACCCCAAGCGAGGGATAGGCCTAATTTGAGCCCAGAGGCTTAAAGATACTGTTGAACTAATTTCTTTGGTTTAATCAAAAAGCCCAAATCCATGTGGTTTAGCTGTCTGCGCCCGGCGTCCCCGCACGGGGCTGCGTGGCTGGAGCGGAGCTGTGTCGGGGTTGGGGTTTCATTCTCCAGTTAGTGGAGATGTCCTGTCCTCTGTCACCGCGAGGGGCAGCTCGAAGGGACCCCATGTGCAGCACCCACCGTCCAGGGCTGAGCGTGGGGTGTGTGGGGTGTAGCCCCCCTTGGGGGCTGCTCTCCCCACCCCAGTGGGTCAGGAGAGATTGACCCCATGGGAATCTTCTCTGGGCTGCGTGGTGGGAAGAAAGACCCGTGTCAGTATGGAGGGAGCTGTTGCCTCCTCTTCAGGTGTCCCGGGAGAGGAGAGACCTTCCCAGCTGCTGCCCCATCTCCACTGGGACAGAGCAGTGCCGTGGGTCACCCCACTGCGCAGCCACCCCTTGCTGTGCTGCTCCCAGCCCCCGTGGGTCCAGGGGGCTTCTGGCCACAGGTCCTGGGAGAGGGATGGGGGTTAAACATCCCTCAGGTGTTTCAGCTCCTTCTGCAGCTTCTCGGTGAGTTTTCTGAAGGACGGCCGCTTGCCTGGCTCCAGCTCCCAGCAGCTCCTCATCAGGGCATAGACAGTGGGTGGGCAGCCCTCGGGGGGCTCCATGCGGTACCCCTGCTCCAGCAGCTCTGTCACCTCCTTCAGGCTCTGGCAGGATGGAGCAGCAGTCTGGGACCCTCCCTTCCCCACCCCACCAGGGGCTTGTCCTG